CATAGGGCAACATTTGTAGTAACTGTTAAATGAGAAACTATTTTGTTCTGTAAGCCTTCATCTTAAGTGAGAATAGCAGCACAATTGGAAGAGCATAGTCGATGTCACTGAACTGTGCATGTAGAAAGTTTTGAAATGGTTTATCTTTGGCTGTGTATATTTTCACCAAAAAAAAATGTCAAGAAGGGAGAGGGTTGACATGTTGTGGGGTTGTTAACCAATGTCATAAAACAATATGTGTACTACTGTTTCATGAGAAAGTATTTGTTCTGTAAGCCTTCACCCAAAGTACAATTAAAAAAAAAAAAAGATAACTAAAAAAGTGATCTCTCCAACATTTGCTTTTACATTTATGTAGACCTCAAGGACAGGGAGGAAGCAGGAGAAGCCATTGACTGACATTGGTTTAAAAAACAAACTTATTGTCATGGAGTCAATTCCAACTCATTGCGACCCTATAGGACAGAGTAGAACTGCCCCATATTGTTTCCAGTTAGTGACTGGTGAATTCGAACTGCCGACCTTTTGGTTAGCAGCCGAGCTCTTAAATACTCTGCCACTGGGGCCCCAACATTGTTTTAACCTCCAGCAAATTAGAGGAAGACAGCTAACAGTAAATTATACAAGTCTCATATTGTAATATTATGCTTATTCTCGTCCTACTAACTTTATTCTGAGTGTATCTTCCCGTCTGTTGTTGTTGTGTGCCGTTAAGTTGATTCTGACTCACAGGACCCTATAAGATAGAGTAGAACTGCCCCTAGGGTTTTCTAGGCTGTAATCTTTACAGGAGCAGATCACCGGGTCTTTTCTTCCACAGAGCTGCTTGTGGGTTCAAACTGCCAACCTTTCAGTTAGCAGCCGAGCACTTAACCATTGCAACACCAGAGCTCCTTCCTTTGTATCTAGTCGCCCAAAATACCAGAGCTTCTACTTCAGTAGTTAACTTGTTATAAATAGACTGTTTTTGGAATGAGATTTGTTCATTCTGGCTTACCCTGGTAGAAGTCCAAATATTATTTTCCTATACAAACATACCATAGGCATTAAGTCCTGGTGTGTAGGGATCCTCAGCCTGTTGCAGATTTCATCGTGCCATCTGCTTCAACCTGAGCAGTGTATCTTCTGCTAGCAGACTTTTTTGAAGTTGCCATGGCTCAGGTTAAAAAAAATCAGGCTTGGCATAAGAAGCTTGCTTTTGAAAAAATAATCATTGATCATGCCTGCTGTAGATTTTAAAATAAGCATTCGAAAGGATTCTCAAATGCCTTTTTTCAACAATTGATCTCTTTTTCACCTGTGAGTATAATACCCAATGTAATGGTTGAATTATTGGTAACTTTGATAACTTAATGAATTATCTGTTTTATTAAAGGATTGTAGGTAGGAGCCCTGTGATGTAGTGGTTGAGAGCTCGGCTGCTAACCAAAAGGTCAGCAGGTTGAATCCAACAGCTGCTCCTTGGAAACCCTGTGAAGCAGTTCTAATCTGTCCTGTAGGATCACTGTGAGTCAGAACTGACTCAACGACAGTGGGTTTGAGTTGTTTTTTTGTAGGTAGGATAGATAATAGGATAGGTAATATATTCTTAAGGATGTATTGGTGATACATTGGAAGACATTTTGATAGCTTACCTCAAGGGAAGTTTTTTACCATCTTATTTTCAGAAATGATACCTCAGATGACTCATGCATTGTGTATAATATAAAGATGATAGGAACACCATGATGGAAAAGTCTGTGCCACAAAGTACGTATTAGGTGGGTGACTTTGTGCAATTTTGTTATTTGTAAAATGGGGATAGTAAATCCTTAGAGGGTTATTGGGGAGACTAGGTCAGAGTAGGTTCATAAAAAATGGATAAACATTTATTATGCAAATGTATATTGAGCACCAACTCTGTGGAAGTCACTCTCCAAGATCCTGAGGATATAGTCATGGATAAAATAGACCAGTTCCTTCTGCTGGAGAATCTCACATTCTAGTCTGTGCCCATTCACTGGTGTGGAACCTCCAAGACAACAGGGTATATGTCAGATTGTGATAAGTGCCATGATAAAAAATGGGACAGGGTAAGCTCATGGACATGGTACTGGGTGCTGTCATGGATAGGGTTGTCAAGAAGGACTCCTATGAGGTGATACTGAGCACACTTAATAATATAAAGCAGCAAGTCTTATGGATATTAAATGTACCTGGCTGGCATAGGGAGCAGCTTGGCAATTTGAGGAAATGTGAGGTGGCCTGTCTCTCTCCAGCCAAATGGGAAAGGGGTGAAGGGGTAGGGTATGAGGCTAGAGAATGATCCCAAAACATCATTGATGTAACCTTTATGATAACTAATCGTCGATAAAAAAAAATCACATTCCAGGTTACTTACAGAAGTATGAAATTAAGATTGGCTGTTTGTACAGTTTTATCAATTATTCAATTTTATCTTGAATCTCTTTATAATGGGGATACACAGGTAATTATAGAATCTTTCTCCAAAATGAAATTATCTTTTTTGTGTGTGTGTGTGCTTATGACATTGTACCCTGGAGTAAAGTTATCTGCGAGGTTTGAGAGTACAGTCTTCCAGACTGCCAGGTCTTCCCAAGACTTCTGATGCCAACTGCAAGGAGTTAGAGGGAAGAGTCCACACAAGACCACACTCAGTTTTGGCATTAACTGCAAGTCTGAGGAATTCTCAAAACCACCCTTAGCTTTGCTAATGCACTAGAAGGACTCACAGAACTCCCTGAAAGCTATTATACTCACAGTTATGGTTTATGACAGGGAAGGGATACAGGTTTAAAATCAGCTAAAGGAAGAGGTGCATGGGGCAGTCTGGAAGGGTTCCAAATGCTAAACTTCCCTTGTCCTGAGGACATGTTACCCTCCCAGAATTGATGTGTGACAGTACGTGTAGAGTATTGCCAAACCAGGAACCTAACTTTGGTGTCCAGAGTTTTGACAGAGGTTTCATTACTTAGGCATGATTGACTGATTGCCTGTGTGGTTGAACTCAGTCCTGCACCTCCTTCCTCCCTGGACACTGGGCTGATAGCACATTGTCTGAAGAGTCCAACATGAATCACTTCATCAGCACAAACTAACAGCTGTAGTCAGAGAGGCCCACCATGAGTGAAAAACACACCCCTAATCACTCCAGAAATTACCTACCAGGGGCAGAGGACAAACGCCAGCCATTTCTGTGGGCCAGGCCAAATTTCTTTATTATACAATGTTATAAAAATTCAAGAAATACAGAAAGTGAATGACCCCCTGGAATCCCATCTCTCAGGAACAACAAGTGTTATACTGGTTGGTTGATGTATAGTCTTCCAGGTGTTTATTGTACATAAAAATATATTTTTAATGTATGTGGGATCATACTGGAACCCTGGTGGTGCAGTGGTTAAGAGCTACACGAGCTACAGCTGCTAACCAAAAAAGGTTGGCAGTTTGAATCCACCAGCCACTTCTTGGAAACCCTATGGGGCAGTTCTGCTCTGTCTTATGAGGTCGCTATGAGTCAAAATGGACTCAACGAAAACAGGTTTGGTTTTTTTGGTTTGAGATACTATGCATATTATTCATTTTGCCTTTTTCACTTCCCAGTGTGTATATGGATGTGTATGTTTATGTGTGTTATAATGAGTTCTCTGAAGTTGAACAGTGGAGATAGTTATTTCCCCCATCTAATAAATAGTGCTGTATTGAACATCCTTATACAGCATCATTGTATAGTATTCTGATTCTTCTCCCTGAAATAAAGTCCTTGAAGTAAAATGGATGGATCACAGCTATGGACATTTTGAAATTGCATATGTAATTTATTATTTCTCTCATTGGTATGTTTTCTCTGGAATAGTTTATGGGATGTAAAAATTATTAATAATCTCTGTATTACCCTTAGATAAACATTGAAACTTCTGTGACTTCAATTGTTGAATATGGCCACATTCCACATCTCAGCCCAGCTGTAATTCCTACTTCGCAAAATGAATCGTTTTTATTGTCCCCAAATAATGGGAATGTGGAAGCACTTACAGGATCTGGAACTCCACACATCAATGGGAAACCTGCTTGTGATGAATTTGATCAGCTGATCAAAAATATGGCCCAGGTAAGACTATTTCTTCCTCTTAGTTATGGTAGGATGTATAATATCTTAAGAATGTGATCATGTCTTTGGTTAATTTTTAAGAATAGAGTGGCATTTATAACATCAGAAAAAATTGGAGTGAAAAAGAAGTATGTATTTTGTCGGAGTTTGGATGGTTTAGAAAATGTTTCTGTTAAATTGTGTTTGTCTTTATTATCAGATTTTAAACTGAGTATTTATGTTGTATTTCCGAAATATGCTTCAAGATAAATAAAATAACTTGTTCTAGATGAGCAATAAAGGTTGTCTTAAACCAGAACAAACCCGTTGCCACTGAGTCGATTCCAACTCATAGCGACCCTATAGGACAGAGTAGAACTGTCCCATAGGGTTTCCAAGGAGTAGCTGGTGGATTGAACTGCCGACCTTTGGATTAGCAACCGTAGGTCTTAACCACTGCACCACCAGGGTTCCAAAGTTTATCTTAGAAATTTTTTTTTCATTTTCTTTCCTTTTTTTTTTTTTTGACAAAATAATGCCACTGATAAGATGACTGTCACTGTGGCGTCTGGCTGTAATTGTATCTCTTCCTTTGTTTCCTCAACAGGGTCGCCATGTGGAAGTTTTCGAGCTCCTCAAACCACCAAGTGGAGGCCTTGGGTTTAGTGTTGTGGGACTGAGGAGTGAAAACAGGGGAGAATTGGGAATCTTTGTGCAGGAGATCCAGGAGGGCAGTGTGGCTCACAGGTGAGACTCACAGCAGCTTTTCTGCTTTTGATACCACAAACAGAAAGTTTTGATCACCATGGGAGGATCTGAAGAAAACAAAAATAAATAAAAAGCAAACAAAAAACTGAGTGTAATCTGTCATTCATCAGTTTTAGTCCTTGGGTGGTTCAGCTGGTTAATGTGCTACACTGCTAATTGAAAGGTTGAAAGTTCAAGTCCACCCAGAGATGCTTCAGAAGAAAGGCCTGGTGATCTTCTGAAAAATCAGCCATTAAAACCCTATGGAGCACAATTCTACTCTGACTCACATGGAGTTGCCATGAGTTACAATCGACTCAATAGCAACTGGATAAGTCTTAACATTGCTGTAGTAAAAAGACCAAGTTGGTTGAAATAAGAGTAGCTTTTAAATATAGTCATAACTTAGTTACATTTTAGTAAGGAAAGAAAGATTTGAGTAGAGCATCATTTTCAATGTTATAAGATGGTTCTTTAATATTAGATTTTTGAAGTTATACAGAAAAATATATAAATGGCCCATGATATTTTGAGCCATATTTAATTAATATATTCAAAGTACTAAGTAAATATAGGCATCTCTACTTTCATTTTGGAGGAGACCTGGTGATGCAGTGGTTAAGCACTTGGCTAGTAACTGAAAGGTTGGTGATTTGAATCCACTGGCTGCTCCGAGGGAGAAAAATGTGGCAGTCTGCTTCCATAAAGACTACAGCCATATTTCCTCTTGATGGTGGAGTCTGTCCTCCAGGGTTGCTATGAGTCAGAATCCTTTTTAGAAGTTAGGGACATCCAAGGTGTAATGTAAGGATGGAGTAGTTAGCTGAAAGAAGAGGGCTTTTAAATGGGAAGGATTGATTAGGAGTGGTGGTGCACTTACCTTCAAAAACAGTTGGTCACCTGGAGCCGCAACAGTTTTTAAAAGTAGAACTACAGGAAAAGATTTAAAAAGGGTGGAAATTAGAAAATAGGATTAAAAACAACCTGCAAATACGTGCCAAAGAAGCTGTAATTTCCAGGAGAGCCATCATCTCTTTTCCCTCTTCTTTTGATCCTTGATAGAGATGGAAGATTGAAGGAAACTGATCAGATCCTTGCTATCAATGGGCAGGCACTTGATCAGACAATTACACATCAGCAGGCTATCAGCATCCTGCAGAAAGCCAAAGAGAATGTCCAGCTAGTTATCGCCAGAGGCTCCTTGCCTCAGCTCATCAGCCCCATAGTGTCCCGTTCTCCCTCTGCGGCCAGCACCATTTCAGCTCACTCTAGCCCGGTGAGTACAGAAGATGTTCAAAAAGAACAGAACATTTTTCCAGTTCTTTTTAGCAGGTAGGCTTGCAATTCCTATAGTTTCCTTGTACTTCGTGAGTGTTAGCCATTTTATTCTTTTATCTGTCCTTGCCCTGGAGTTGTTTGTTATTTAATCATGATTAAGTTTATAGCTTCTGAAACAACCTTTGCCTTTCCTTGAATAGTTTTTTTACTTGACTACATTTCTCAAAGAAAACTTAGGTCTTTAACAACATTGACTTTGTCTGTAGAGAGACATAATCTTGATTTTGCCCTGCAGATTATTCAATTGTATTCTATGGCTAGCTGTCAGTGACTTTAAGCAGTCGTCTAATTTGGAATCCTGTCTCCAGGCAGGATTATGCAGAAAACATCCTTAACTGGGCAACAGTTTTCTTCTTGATCTTTTTTTTTAAAAGAAGTTCTGCAAAGGATCTTGCAAATCAGCGCCTGTCTTTAATTGATTAATGCAGTTACTGTAATAATGAGTTGATTCAAGAATGATTGTATCAGGAGATTTACAGTCTGTTGAAAGTGAAGTACAGGTAGTACAGATGGTACCCAACTTACAACGTATTCCAGTTTTGAAGAACCGCGTTTATGGCCGTCTTTTTTTTTTTGTACATCTTATCGTTGTTAGTAATATGTACTACATACAATGTTAAAATATATCAGTAAACTTCCGACCCCCCAAAACAAATAAAGATCCAATTTATAAAAATACCGATAATAAAAGGCAATAATAATGAACACTAAAAAAAAAGGTATTTGACTTACATCAAAACTGACTTACAACGGAGTTGTTGGAAGGGAACCCCATTGTAAGTTGGGGACTATCTACATATACATACCAAATGAAAGGGATAAAAGTACGTTGTTAGAACTCATTATTATGTCTGAATTCAATGATTTAACACTAATCACAAAATAATAATACTTACAAAGATCTCAACTGTAATAAAACATTCCTGTTTTTCCTAAGTGTTTGCAAATTCATATAAGGGCTTTGTTTTCAGGTTCACTGGCAGCACGTGGAGACTATTGAGTTGGTGAATGATGGATCTGGTCTGGGATTTGGCATCATAGGAGGAAAAGCAACTGGCGTGATAGTCAAAACCATTCTCCCTGGGGGAGTAGCTGATCAGGTAAGCTACTCCAACAGGTCTTTTATGCTGTTTTATCAAACAGTATGGCTTCGTCTTTCATCTTTTCTATTAGAAAGAAGAAACTTTTGTCTTTGATAATGTTAAAATGTTATCTAGTGCTGCTATAACAGAAAAACCACAAGTGGGTGGCTTTAACGAACAGAAATTTATTCATTCTCTCACAGTCAAGAAGACTAGAAATCTGACTTCAGGGCACCAGCTTCAGGGGAATGCTTTCTCTCTCTGTCGGCTCTGGGGGAAGGTCCTTGTCATCAATGTTCCCTTGGGTCTAGGAGTTTTTCAGCACAGGGAACCCGGGTCCAAAGGACACATTCATCTCCTGGCTCTTCTTTCTTGGTAGTGTGAGGTCCCTCTCCTCTCTGCTCACTTCTCTCTTTCATCTCAAAAGAAATTGACTCAAGATATAACTAATCCTATAGATTGCATCCTGCCTCATTAACATAACTGCCTCTAGTCCTGCCTCATTAACATCATAGAGGATTTACCACACATAGAATAAATACATCAGATCACAAAATGGATGACAACCACACAGTACTGGGAATCATGGCCTAGCCAAGTTGACATATATTTTTGGGGGACACAGTTCAATCCATAACATTCTACCCTCCCCCACCCCCACTGCTTTGCCACATGTAAAACACATCCACCCCATTGTATCATCCCAAAAGTCTTATGTCAACTCCAAGTCCAAATTCCATCCTGGGCAAAATTCCTCTTCATCTGAAATCTACGATACAAGTTATCAGCTTCCAAAGACAATGGTGGAATGGGTACAAGGTAGACATTTCCATTACAAATGGAAAAATTGAAGGGAAAGAAGGGATAACAAGCACTAAGCAAGTCAGCAGAACACATAACATTAGCTCTCAAGTCTTGAAAATAATCCCCTCTTCTCTGAGACCATTTAGGCAGTGGCCCTGCCTTCCAGACTCTTGAGTGTTGATCATACTCTCCAGATTCTGGATGGAGGCCCCTTGGCCCCAAGCTTCAGTGCAGCCTTCCAGGCCTAGTGGGACAGCAGCTCTGCTCCTTTGGATTTGAGCGGCCCCATTCTCCTAGTTTGTCCAAGTGGCAGCCCTACCCCCTTGGCCCCAGCAGGCCTGGTTCTTCGGCCTCTTGGGCATGGCAGCTCCTCCCCCTCATCTTTGGTCATCGGATCTGACCTTATCCCACTGGCAGTTGTGAACAGCAGCCCCACACTTTGGAACTGAATTGATGAAGATCTGACTCTGAAACCTAGGAGGCTATCTCCCCACCCTTTGAGGCCGAGGAGGCTGTGGTGTTACGTTTTGAGACCCCAGAAGTCGTGGCCTTACCGTCTGAGACTGAGGCAGCTCTGCTTTCTGTGTTCCTTGTGTCTTCAGCTTCTGCTTCCTGGTTCCTCAGCCTCTTAGCCCCTCAGGCCCTCTTGGGCCCAGCATCTACCCTGCTGGGGCAAGTGTTCCAAAGCTATTTAGCTCCACCGATACGTACCTGGAGGGACCCCACTCCTCCAGTAAACCTCGGCCCAAAGGCACTCAGCTCTCACTCTGTGGATCGACAAGCCTAACTCCGCCAATAAGTGCCCGGAGGCACCCTGCTCCGCCAGGAAGCCACCTGTACAAAGGCACTTAACTCTCTCACTCTGTGGGTCAGCTCCCATGCTGTCTCGCACTGGTCTTCTGGTTCTGCTGCTGCCGTTTCTCTGCTGCTACTCCTCACCATCTTTGCCATCTCTGATGTTACAGCTCTCCACATTTCCTTCTGAGCCCTCACCAGAATTGTCTTTGATGTCCGTAACGCCACCAACAGTCTCTTCAAGACAGTTTAGGCTTTTACTGTTAAGCAACTTAAAACTTTTCCAGCCTCTACTCATTCACAGTTTCAAAACCACTTCCACATTTTAGGTGTCTGTTAGAGAAGAACCCCACTCTCAGGACCAAATTATGTCCTAGTTATTTAGTGCTGCCATAACAAGGAATACCACAAATGGATGGCTTTAACAAAGAGGAATGTATTTATTCTCTCACAGTCTAGGAGGCTAGAAGTCTGAATTCAGGGCACCAGCTCCAGGGGAAGGTTTTCTCTCTCTTTTGGCTCTGGGGGAAGGTCCGTGTCATCAGTCTTCCCTTGGTCTAGGAGTTTCTCTGTGCAGGGACCCTGGGTCCAAAAAACACGCTTTTCTCCTGGCTCTTCTTTTTCGGTAGTATGAGATCTCTCTCCTCTCTACTCATTTCCCTTTTTTATATTTCAAAAGAGGTTGACTCAAGATATAACCTAATCCTATAGATTGCATCCTGCCTTATTAACATAATTGTCTCTAACCCTGCCTCATTAGCATCATAGAGGGTTTACAGCACATCAGATAGATACATCATATCACAAAATAGAAGACAGTCACACAATACTAGGGATCATGGCCTACCCAAGTTGACAAACATTTTAAACTGTTGCTGTTGAGTCAATGCCAACTGATAGTGAGCTTATATGACAGAGTAGAACTGCTCCATAGGGTTTTTTGGGGGGACACAATTCAACCCTTAACACAAAGCAACTGAGTTAGTATCTTCTATTTTACTGGGCTATACCTAAAGTGTTCTCTTAGACTTGGGGCAGGTTACATTTGGAAAGGGACATTTATCGTAAGTTATAGTTGCAAACAATGATCTTAAGACATTTAGAACCACAGACTAAAACTAAGCTTATGGTTTTGATTACTGTAGAGGTAGCTTCCCTTTGTTTGTGATCAGAAGGCATATTTGTAAACCTAGTCAGCTATTTTATAACCACAAAATATTATGGAAAAAGAATATTTACTTGATTATTAAGAGGGAAAAAAAAGACTAGTCCCTTTAATAAAGGGTCACTGGTATCATCTTGTATATGAAAAGCACAGCCTGTTTTCATTACTTAGCATTGCCATTTATGATATGTGACATTGTTGCAATATACATGAAAAAACTTCTAATAAATTTATTAGTTATGACTTATGTTTTATTTTGACAAGTTATACTAGTTGAAGTAACTTTTACCTTGATTATAACCATTTGTTTTATGAACTTCTCTGTTTTTGCATGTGCATTTGAACTTCATATTTGGAAGTCGGATTCATCAAATATTTCTCAAGTTCACAAATGAAAATCCTGTTTAATGGCGACCTTGTCAGTAGATGTATTAACAGTAAAGCACTAGTATGCAAAATTTTTCTTCCTTTTAAACATCAGCCAGCATCTAGCAGTATCATAGGAGTCCCTGGGTGGCACAGACAGTTAATGTACTTGGTTGCTAACTGAAAGGCTGGAAGTTTGAGTCTACCCAAAGGCACTCAAAGGAAAGACCTAGTGATCTACTTCTGAAACATCAGTCATTAAAAACCCTGTGGAGCACGGTTCTACTATGACACACATGGGGTTGCAATGAGTCAGAATCAGCTTGATGGCCACTGGTTTACCTGTACCAAGTGAAAGTCCTCCAGTTAACAAGTTTGTGATACATATGCTTTATCTTCAGTGTGGAGCTACACTGTCCATAGTCGGGCCACTTGCTACATGTCACTTTTAAAATGTGAATGAAAATGAAAAATCTGGTTCCTCAGTTGGACCAACCGTATTTCACGTTCTCCTTAACCACATGTTGCTAGTGGCTGCCATATAGGACAGTGCCTTCTAGGACAGTGCAGAACATGTCCATCATCACAGGAAGTTCTAGGCAGTGCTTGTATGGAGGCTTGTAAGACAGCTTTTCACATGCATTTTCGTCTATCTGAATTTTCATCTCACAAGGACTTCGCCTGAAAATGAATTTATAATTGAAATGGCCAGCCAGAAAATTATGTTATTAATCCCATGCTTTCTTGGGGGTTCATACCACATTTTGAGTGTAGTTGCATAGCAACTTCATACTTTGTCTTTGCTTAATGGCATTTTCTTCTTTCTGTCCCTCAAACACACACACACGCACGCACGCACACACACGCACGCACACAAAAAGACTTAACATTTCATTGCATTTAGTAGGTAGAAATCAAAGAAAAAAGTTTATAGCAACTATTGATTTAAGGAAAATTTGTGAATTTCAGTAACATATCCCCTTGAACGATGTTAGAATGTTTCAGAAGACAGTTAATATGCTTATTGTCCCGTGGTAGAAAATTCATGTCATTCCCTCACTTAGGATTTCTGTAATGCAGTCAAAATAATGCTAACCTGATTATTCTCTTTTTAAAAAAAATCAGCATGGGCGATTGTGCAGTGGAGATCACATTCTAAAGATTGGTGACACAGATCTAGCAGGAATGAGCAGTGAGCAAGTAGCACAAGTCCTCAGGCAGTGTGGAAACAGAGTGAAGTTGGTGATTGCAAGAGGGGCCATAGAAGAAGCGACAGCACCCACGTCTTTGGGCATCACCCTCTCCTCATCCGCATCTTCCACGCCAGAAGTACGGGTAAGTAGGGAAAAACAGTTAAGGTGAAAGTCAGAGATAGTAGCACTTAGATGACAGTGGTGTTTATTTAGAGACTAGAACTTATTAATGTTCATATATTAGGGTTAAGAATGAAGCACAATGCAAATGTAAGTATGTTTCAGCACGGACAGTATTCTATTAAGCAAGAGTACTGTATAACAAAGATGAAAGAAAGGTTGCTTAGAAAATTCTAGATTACTATTTTGCATTTGTGTCTATGCAGCACCTTTACAAGAATATTTTGAAGTATGGATAAAATCTTAAAGGATTATATGCTACTAATACCAAAAATGTTTAATTCTATCTTTCTCTTAAATGAAAAGTTCTCTGTGAGGTAGATCTTAAGCTCTAGTCATTCCCTTTCCACAATTTTCTTTTAGGTTTTTTTTTTTTTGTGTGTGGAGGTTGAGTGATGGGGGCAGGCTTAGTGAGGGTGAAGAATAAAGCTTATAACACTCTCTCAATATCATTGTTTCAAGGTATGTCATAGAACTGTTATCAGATTTGTAATAAGAAGTTGCTACTTTTGACCTGGTTATATAATCTTTTAAACAAAAGTCATTCATTTGAGGTAACAAAAGCTTTATTCATAACCGTAGCAATCCATCTTTGTCCCTGATTGGTTATGAAAAAATGCTGGAAAATTTCACAATTATTGGAATGTGGTGGTTATCTCAGATAGTTTACAGGTCACAAGTTTATAGTGGTTAAAATATCAACACAATATTTTTATCCAGAAATCTCTCACATTTTTAAGAAGAGAATTACACCAAATTTCTAAGTAAGATTTATAGCAAATGCAAGGCTTATAATCCTTTCCCATTTCTTATAAAAATACTTATGTACTTTTTTGTATTAATTTTTTTTTGGCTAGTTGCTACAACTTCTTTTTTTAATATCCTGACTTCCTCCACAAGCCGTTTAAAACTTTATGAGAACACTTGAAATTTCCATGATTCTGTTGTTTTTAAGATTGAGTTTGGTAGCTATTTTTTGCAAAGAGAAAGCAGTAAAGAAAGAAAGCTTGTTTATGAAAGTATTTAAATGGCATTCTTTTGTGGTAAACAAAACATTTTATTCAGCAATACATAAATGAATGCAATACCGAAAACCACTTGATGTAATTGAATGCTTAGAAAAATATCTATTCTGTGCATATCATCATTTGTGAAGCTTGTGCCCCTTTTAAAACCATTCGATAGTCAAATTGCCACCCTCTAAAATAGCACTCGCATAAGTCTTATTAAAAATAGAAAACACATTTGTTTCAATTGAAGCAGATTTCATCCTGTCATTTTCTTGTAATTATCTAAACTTTAAACTTTTGCTAAGTTTGCACAGATAATTATGTGCAAAGAAAAAAATAAATCAAACTTTACCATAAAATTATATCTTATTTAGGTGGACTATGTATTAGATACAGGCAGAGTTTGTTTCAGGAAAATCAGTAAACATTACCAGCTAGCCCCCAACCTGTATGTCCATTAGAGCCCACAGCCCTGATCCTGTTGTGCTCTTTTGAGATTCTCTGTAGAATCTGCTGACACCACACAAGTGCATGGTGTCAATAGCTTATTGATAGCTTATTACTCCAGTCCGCTAATGTTTATGTAGGCCAGCTTTACCCTTCAGTTCAACATACGATATATAACAATGCAGTTCAATTAATAGTATTTCTAGCGAAAGCTGACATTTGAGAAACCCGCTGTTATTCCAGGAATGGAAGGTGTCAATGCAGACAGATATATTTTCTTTATAAATAGCTTTTCATATTGAATTCCCAATTTACAAAACAGCTAAAGAGAGGATTTTAAATAGTTCATTGATGCATTTCACTGGTTTTCAAAATAAGTCATTAGCAGATTAATTGCATATGTGGAGGCTAGAGCAACGCATTCATGGTGTTAGAATCAACTATCAAATTTAAGATAATAATAGAAACTAACATCTCCTAAGTAGACACTGTGGCTTTACATTCTACTAGGGACTTCACACAGAGTTTATCATTTCAGAGCAGGGGCTCTGCAACCAGACTTTCTGGATTTGAATCCTGCCTCTACTACATTGCAGCTGTGTGTCCTTGGAAAAGTTTCTGTGCCTCGGTTTCCTCAGAGAAAAATTGACATAATAATTTTACCTATCTCGTAGGCTGGCTCTAAGAAGAAATGGATTAAGACATGTCAATTCCCTGTTACACAGAAGGTCCTCAGTAAATGTTAGCTAGACTTGTTATTATTATTCCTGATATATAATTGAGCAGGGTGATGCTTACAAAGATTAAGTAGCAAGTTAGACTTGTGCTTGTTTATCTGAATTCAAAACAGCTCTGTCCACTGTACTACATCCCATCCCAACTCCTTCAGAAATGAAGACGGATGAGCCATCTCTGAAAATAGAACTTGTTAGTAAGAAAATACTTGATTTCTAGAATTCTGTATACACAAACAATAATGTACCTCTCTAATAAGGGATGTGTCCTAGTCATTTAGTGCTGCTATAACAGAAATACCACAAGTGGTTGGCTTTAACAAACTGAAATTTATTCTCTCATAGTCTAGTAGGCTAGAAGCGTGGATTCAGGGCGTCAGCTCCAGGGGAAGGCTTTCTCTCTCTGTCAGCTCTGGTGGGAGGTCCTTATCATCAGTCTTTCCTGGTCGAGGAGCTTCTCAGCGCAGGGATCCCTGGTCCCAAAGGACACACTATTCTCCTGGCTCTTGTTTCTTGGTGGTATGAGGTCCCCATGTCTCTCTGCTTGCTTCTCTCTTTTATATCTCAAAAGAGATTGACTTAAGAAACAACCTAATCTTGTAGATTGAGTCCTGCCTCATTAACATATCTGCCTCTAATCCTGCTTCATAAACCATCATAGAGGTAGGATTTACAACACAAAAGAAAATCACATCAGATGACAAAATGGTGGACAATTACACAATACTGGGAATCATGGCATAGCCAAGTTGACACATATTTTTTGGGGACACAATTCAATCCATAACAGGGTGATTCAGCTTCATTACTGACACTGATTTCTGAGTAAAAACGTGATGCTTACTCTATGTCCTCATAACTGAAGGAGTGATCTCTACTGGAATTCTCTAGCAGAGTTCTCTGATGCTTAATTACATCCTATTATTCAGATTTTTGAACTTGTTTTTTTTGTTTCTTTGTGGATTTTATTTTAGGTCGAGGCTTCTACCCAGAAAAGTGAAGAAAGTGAGACATTTGATGTGGAACTCACTAAAAATATCCAAGGATTAGGAATTACCATTGCTGGTTACATTGGAGATAAAAAATTAGGTAGTTCTAAACATTAAATTTTTTTTTTTTTAAACTCAGCATTTGCCTCTAATATCTTATTAAATATTGAATCAGAATTATATATTTCAAGATTGTTGTTGGATAAACTGATTAAAAACTTCATCAGGAATAATTTAAGATAGGCTACTCTGGGTGGCACAGTGGTTAAGAGTGCAGCTGCTAACTGAAAGGTCAGAAGTTCGAATCTACCAGACGCTGCTTGGAAATCCTATGGGGCAGTTCTTTTCTGTCCTCTAGGGTCATTATGAGTCAAAATTGACTCAACAGCAACAGGTTTTTGTGGGTACTCTGATACTATAAGATAGATGAAATAGTTGTCTTATTTTGTAGTGTAAGATTCTACTAATGATTTTGATTATATGGCTTGTTAATGTATCCATATGCAAAATTAGGATTTTATATTTATAGAATAAAGAGTAGATATTCTGACAAATAACCTATTTTTAATCTTAGAACCTTCAGGAATCTTTGTAAAGAGCATTACAAAAAGCAGTGCTGTTGAACATGATGGACGAATCCAAATTGGAGACCAAATTATAGCAGTAAGTGACACATTTAATAATAGCTTTGTTAATTTTCATGTTTGAGAAATGCATTCCTCTAGTTCACTCAATTTTAAGAACTATGGTTACCTCAGTATTAATTAAACTTGCTTGAGTGACTTGAAGCTATCATTGCAATTACTTATTATTTTGTGGAGATAAAGTAGAACATTCAATTGAAGCTTTACTGATTTCAGTTCTAAAGTTTGAAACTTCTTGCTTGAAAAATTCAGATCTATTCCATTTCTGGTTAGAATGAATTTGTTACATTAATTAAAGTCACACTTAAACTTTACTTGCAGACTTCAAAACCTTTAGTGTACTTGAATCTGATTTTGGAATGCTTACTTTTTTTTGATCAGCAGAATGACATGTTATTTTTGGCTCCATGGGCAAGGGAGTCTTTAAAAGAAATAGGTCCATCCCCTCTTAATTAGATCAAGCTTATCATTATTATCTTGATGATCATCAGTAGATTTTAAGTAGTTGGCTATTTTTAAGGTGATGTGCAAAAGAATCCATCTTTCTAATGCTCAGTGGAAACTAGACTCCCCAAACTAATCAACTACTCCCCCGAACACAAATTCAAGACGATTCAGCACAAAGGGTTTCCTAGTCAAATAAGTTTAGGAAAAACTGCAGACGATATGGTCTCTTAGAGGTTCACATTGCACACTGGAAAATCGGAGACCCTGAGAAGTCCTGCAGTAGAGAAACCTGTTTAACTTTTTACTTTAGTATGTCCTAAACTTTTGTAATTGTGGGGTCTTTTCCTAAACTTTGTATTAATATTCTTTGGAAGTCATCTTGGGGAGTGAGTCATCATCTTAGTATATATTTGTTTATGCTTAAGTCACTGTTCCCTTCGGATCATAAGATCAGTAGTAACAGTTGGAAAGTAAGATGTTTAGACAAAAGTCCTTTATCTCTGCCTTTTGCTTCTGCACTGCAACTGTACTGAGTCCACTTGGTTTTAGTTCTGTGAAGCTCCTACCAAACCCTATTAATTAACCCCCTGAAATCTACTCTAGAGACCAACCTATGTTTACCAGCTATCCTGGCTATATGCTGGAAATGAGCTTTCACCACTGTGTCTCCATTTTATCATACAATAAAATTTAATCATTTTATGATTTTGTGATTTATGACACAACCTTGCTTGCTAAAAGCATAGAGGACTTGAAGCACTTACTGATGGAAGATCAAAGACTGCAGCCTTCAGCATGGATTACACCTCAACATAAAGACAATGAAAATCCTCACAACTGGACCAATAAGCAGCATCATGATAAATGGAGAAAATATTGAAGTTGTCAAGAATTTCATTTTACGTGGATCCACAATCAACACCCATGGAAGCAGCAGTCAGGAAATCAAATGACATATTGTATTGGGCAAATCTGCTGCAAGAGACCTCTTCAAAGTGTTGAAAAAGCACAGATGTCACTTTTGAGGACTAAGGTGGGCCTGACCCATGCCGTGGTATTTTCAGTCACCTCATATGCATGAGAAAGTCGGACAGTGAATGAGGAAGACTGAAAAAGAGCTGATGTGTTTGAATTGTGATGTTGGTGAAGAATATTGAATAAAAGATGGACTTCCAGAAGAGCAAACAAATGTGTCTTGGAAGAAGTACAGCCAGAATATTCCTTAGAAGGGATGATGATGAGCCCTCATCTTAGGTATTTTGGACATGTTATCAGGAGGAAGTAGGCCCTGGAGAAGGACATCATGCTTCGTAAACTAGAGGGTCATTAAAGAAGAGGAAGACCCTCAGTGAGAGATGGATTGACACAATGGCTGCAACAGTGGGCTCAAACATAGCAATAATTGTTGAGGATGGCTGGCACAGGACCAGGCAGTCTTCCTTCTGTTGTACATAGGGTCGCTGTGAGTCTGAACCTACTGAAGAGCAACAACAGTGATTTTCATTCAGGGGAGGGAAGAAAGCTGATAGAGTGAATAAATGTAGACTCTAAATCTATATCTGATACTGAATTAATGATTGAAAACGTAGCTAATTTACTCTTTTCTCTCATCTAGTATTTTAATCTATTAGAAAGCATATTTTTTGTTAAATGATTTTGAGATACAATTCACATGCCATACAAATCGCTCATTTAAAATGTACAATTCAGTATATTCGCAGAGTTGTGCATCCATTAGCACAGTCAATTTTACAACATTTTCATCATCCTAAAAAGAAACTTGATACCATTAGCAGTCATTTTTAATTTCCCGTATCATCCTTACCTAAGCCACCACTAATTTTTCTGTCTCTATTATAGATTTACCTATTCTGGACATTTCATATAAATGGAATCATAGAATATGTGCTTCTTTCACTTAGCAAATATTTTTCAAAGTTCATCCATGTTGTAGCGTGTATTCATTTCTTTTAATTGTTAAGTAATATTGTATGGATGTATCACATTTTGTTGATGGACATTTGGGTTGTTTCCACTTTTTGATTATTATGAATAATGCTGCTGTGAACATTTGTGTATAAGTTTTATGTATACATATAATTTCATTTCTCTTTTGTGTATACCATATTTTTATGCAAATACATGTTACTGTAAAAAAAATTGGCGTAGCATGCTTATGAAAATACCTCATGGGAGAGAGAGCAGTTGGCAAACAAAAGTAGAAGGCGTGTGTTATTTATGTAAAAATACAGTACCTAAGGGTGGAATTGCTGCATAATAAGGTAATAACCATTTAGCAAGATTCTTGATTCAGTTTCTTCACCTACAAAATTGGGATGAGACTATTTTTCTTGTATGATTTTTTAATGAGAATCAAATGGCATAATTTATTTAAAATACCTTGTATAATACTGGAGCCCTACTGGCACAGTGGTTAAGAGCTTGGCTGCTAACCAAAAGGTCAGCAGTTTGAATCTACCAGTTGCTCCTTGGAAACCCTATGAGGTCGATCTGCTCTGTCCTATAGGATCACTATGAGTCAGAATCGACTGGTTGGTGATGGGTTAAAGGGTTAACAGGTATAATACTTGGCATATAGTACAGTTTTATTAATTAAGCAGATACTTTTTGAGGGCCTAAAATGATTACATATTTGAAAGAGTCTCACAACAGCTTCCTTCCAAACTTGTCATTATCTTCATTCTTATGTAAGTAGAATCTCAAATATAATTCTCGTTAACCAAACCAAACCTGTTGCCGTTGAGTCTCTTCCGACTCGTAGCAGCCGTATAGGACAGAGTAGAACTGCCCCCATAGGGTTTCTTTCCAAGGCTGTAAATCTTTACGAAAGCAGACTAACACATCTTACTCCTGCAGAGCAGCTGGTAGATTTGAACCACTGACCTTCTTCCAGTTAGCAGCTGAGCGCTTAACCACTGCCCCACCGGGACTCCTCATGATTTCCCTTAGGCAAGGTCAATAATAAAGGAGATTGTTGATTCAAAAGCGGAACCTTCCATCCCTTGAGATTTCTTTCTTGCTTTAATAAAACCACCGTCTTCACTTGCATCTATATTTTGAGTTTTCATTTGTATTTTTAGTGACATTCCCTTATTTCAGAGTAAGAAGCCTCTCATGCAGTGCTTTTGATCATGCATTAATTTTTTGAGAAATATCAGCATCTTGTGGACTTCTGAGAGGGCAGTAGGGAAGGTTTTCACATCTGGTTGCTTTTTCACAACTGCAGTCTTTGGCTATTTGTTTGCTTTTTGTTTTGGCAGCAGCTATTTGGAGCTATACTCTTTTTATTGTAGTTGTTGAGGTGGTGAGAAAATTAAGAAGTTGTTTCTCACTATTTTGGGTAAGTATTATTTGGTAACATTAAAACTATTTTGCTGTAAGATCCCTCTTGTACAAATCCTGTTCTGTGGACCCCTAGGGTCTCACTATAGACACAGGGGCAGGGTATAGAGTAGAGCACACGATTCCTTTCTTTTTCCTGTTTTTTTTTTTTTTAACATTTTATACATTGTTGTTCTCCATAAGAGTTTATTTGACAGAAGGCCTCTATTGTCTTTTTTAGAAAGTTGACCTCACTTCGTCATTTGACAAAATCATACGTTCATTCTTTTTAGATTGATAACACACAATGAATCTTGCTAAAAGCAGTATGGGATTGTGATGGATGAAATAAATTACTATAACAAGCATATAAATTTTAGAAAAAATGGTCAGATGTTGCCTTTGATATTCTGTGACTTTGTTACTACACTCAGGTTCTACCTTTATAGGTATGGGGTGTGTCAGGGAAGGGTTTAGCCAGTTGCATTGAGTGTGCTAAGTAGTTCTTCAGGTTACTGGTATAGGGACTTTTGCCCTTCCTTGTTGTCGTGAAGTGCCGTCAAGTCGCTTCCGACTCATAGCGACCCTATATACAACAGAACCAAACTCTGCCTGGGCCTGCCCTTCGCTAGTATCCAGTTTGTTGCAGTGTTTTCTCTGTTGTTATATTTTGTCTTTCTAAAAGGGAATCACCAGAGTGGCAGTAGGGGGAAAGAGGAAAAAGTTAGACACCTATGTTAAGTTGCCATCTAGACCAGAAGTTTAATACAAGACAGAAGGAACCAGAAAGTAGGAGAATATCATCTAGATTAGAGGTCTCTAAACTTTTGATTGAGTATCCTTGTCAGCAAAAAAAAAGTTGACTATTCCTTTCTCCCTCTTTCTCTTCCGTCTATGTATTCATTTATAATATATACAGCAAATTAATACATACAACACGTATATATACATAAAATAGAAATGAGATTAAAAATACGTTTAATTAGAAGTTTTAATATTTTCTTCCAGAAACTTCTGCAGTAAAGATAATCTTTGTTGGAGACCACTGATCTAGGTCTTGTTCTAATTCTCATGTATTTAATAAATAATAAATATTTGAGTGCCAACTGTGGCCAGCACTGTTCTTAGAAAGGCATGACACTCTGACATTTTACAGCTATTTCACAATTCAAAAGGAATATCAATGGCTTTGAATTTCAACATTAAATTTATTGGTCCACTTTTCCAAACTGCTATCACTGTGATTTTATGAATTTGTTTTTTTAAAATATGGTGTTGTACTTCGCATTTGTCTATTCCAAAAGGAATTTGCTTTACAAATAAATCTTTGGCATACGAGCCAATGGCTATACCCTTCCATTTGGGATGAACATCTACTGTGCAAACAGTGCTATGTTTTGATATGCAGCTGTAACAAAAATGACACAGAGCCTGCCCTCATGGAACATACAGTCATAGAGCAAATAATGACAGAAAATGTAAAACTAAAATTCTGCTAAATGCTATGAAGAAGGATGGGTAAAAGGGAATTTGACAATAAGCAGGGAAGTCAAGATAACTGTGGAAGTCTGTTGGACTGAGCTCTGTCTGCAGCAATTATTGGTGTTTTCTAAGAGAACTGATGAGAAAATATGGGCTGGAGTGGGCTGTCCAGAGGGTGCAGGCTGAGTGTGCAGCATTTGTAGAGACCACAGGGTTGGGGGAAAACTACAGGTCAGAGGGATGGAAGTGAGGCCACTGGGCTGGAGGGCAGAGAGTAACAGGAGGCATCATGCAAGATGAGGTTGGTGATGGTGGGTGGTGGTAATGATGGGAGGTGGGGGTAGCTGACAAACTCTAGACCATTTTGAAGACTTGGAGCATTGTCCTATGGAGTGTTCTTTGGAAGACAGGGTTTGGGTGAGATGAGCATATTTGTAGTTTGGAAAAGTCTTAGGGACATTTTCAAATGTTTTATCATTTGTGAGCTAGTAAAAGGGAGAGTCACATATATTTTTGAAAGAGGCAAAGAAATGAGAAGGAAGACAGTTTTGTTGTGTTTATTTTTTTTAAGCCAGTATAAATATGGTTTTGGAAAACGTCATCATTCTCAGTAACCACTCTCATCACCGTCTTGTTTACCTTCATTCTATGTAGTACTATTTTTCAATTTAACTGTGCATCAGGACCATGTGGAGACTGTAGAAGAAGGTATAGAAACATGGAGACATTGGGGGTTGGTGGTGGAATTCTCACCTTCTGTGCGGGACACCAGGTTTCCCGGCTAATATCCCTCATGCACAGCCACCACCTGTCTGTCACTGGTGGCTTTTGTGTTGCAATGATGCTGAACAGGTTTCAGCAGAGCTTCCAGACTAAGACGGACTCGGAAAAAAGGCTTGGTGATCTACTTCCGAAACTTAGCCAATGAAAACCTTGTGGATCACAGCAGTTTGATCCGCAGCTGATCAGGGGAATGGCACAGGATTGGGCTGCATTTTGTTCTGTTGTTCTGTTGTGCATGGGGTCACCATGAGCTGGAGGCTGACTTGAGGGCAGCTGACAACAACAACACAGAAGCATGAGCCCCACTTTAGAACTACTGGCTCATAATTTCTAGGAGAGACCCCCCAGAATCTGTATTAAACAAAACAATCAAAACCCTCTCTCATGATTCTAAGGCATCTAAGTTCATACCAACCAAACCAAACTCATTGCCTTCGGGTCGATTCTGACTCATAGCGACCCTGTAGGATAGAGTAGAACTGCCCCATAGGGTTTCCAAGGAACTGTTGGTGGATTTGAACTGCTCACCTTTTGGTTAGCAGCTGAGCTCTTAACCACTACACCACCAGGGCTCCTCAAAGGTAGTACGGGTCTTCAAACAAGTGTTGGGTATCATTGCCTGTTCCCCGGTCTTCATGGTAACAAGCAGTAAATAGGCATTTTGTGCATGTAATAAAAAAAAAATTTTTTTTTTTTTTAAACATGTGTTGTTCTTCTCACAGGTAGATGGCACCAACCTTCAGGGATTCACCAATCAACAAGCAGTCGAGGTGTTACGGCACACAGGACAGACTGTGCGCCTGACACTAATGAGGAGAGGCGGAGTGAAGCCGGAGGCTGAAGTCACGCCGGGGGAGGACCTCACAAAGGATACGATTTTGTCACCTTTTAATACCAGCACGAGCAAAGGTAAAACCAAAATAATCGAGCTTTCAGATAGACCTTTGTTAGATTTTTTTTTCCTAATTCTGAAATAATTTGTTTAAAGAATGGTTTCTACCCCCAGCAATTCGTTATGAACCGAGTGATAAGGAAGTTTAATAAAGTTGGAATTATTCAGAACCTGAGTCCGTTAACCATAAATGCACTTCTGAATAAAGCAGTTTTCTTTCTATCCTGTTCATTCAATCACCATTTCCTAATCAGCACATAATGGTCATTTACCTTTCTGCCACGGCAGTGTTGTCTTCAAGAGACCCTGTTCTGACTGAATTATGTATGTGGGCTCCATGATTTAAATGCTCAGCCAAGAAGGAATTGAATTAAACTCCACATTTAGAAAACCCATTCATAAGCTGTTTGTACTTGAGTGTCTCTGCGAATGACTGCAGTTCCCAGATAGCTAAATGATATAAAAGGAAGTCTAATAAAGTTGGGATTATTGGTAGAAGTCAGGCTGTAGGCTAGAAAATGTTGTTTCAGTTCTAAAACTGTTCACTGTTCTGGTACTTACAGTATACACTACTTACTGCTGTACTAGACGCCAGGCAAATCACTGGAGAAATTTATCACTTCTTTTTCCCCATTGGAGCCCTGGTGGCGCAATGGTTAACAGCTATAGTGCGCTACAGCTGCTAACCAAAAAAGGTCAGCAGTTCAGATCCACCAGCTGCTTCTTGGTAACCCTATGAAGCAGTGCTACTCTGTCTTACAGGGTTGCTATGAGTCAGAATCAACTCGACAGCGACAACGTTTTGTTTTTGCTTTTTTTCCCCCATTAATAGGAAAACTTTTCTTTTAGTACAAGTGGTTATTGAAGAGCTTACCTCCAAAAAACAAACTCATCTAGGTGTTCAAATAAATACAGTGTAATTAGAAAAATTTAAATACTGAAAAACCTAACTACTAAAATATTCTTCTCTTTAAGAAAATTATGAAAAAGATGAAGATTCTTTATCTTTGAGGAGAAACACCAGCATATTACCAATTGAAGAAGAAGGAAAACACCTGGAGCCAGGTTATTATGTTCTTTCTTTTTTAAGTAAATGGTTTTTATAAATGTGATTAAGCAGTCTAGGCTGTAAAAATTACTGAATAATGTCTTCTAGAAAAGAGATACTTGTAAATCCCTATATAAAGATGTGATTAATTGCTCCAGTGGATGACGAGAATAGTTCATTTATATCTGGTATATTTTCTTGCTGGGTTAGTCTTTTCTTCTACATTTATTTACACAGAATCCTTTAGGAATCAGTCAGTTATGCACGTAATTTTAATTCAACCCCCTTGCTTCTATATACAGCCAACGTATCTGTACTTTCTTGATGAAACAATAACAAAATTATACTGTTTTCTAAAATAAATAATGGAGTATCTTTAAATCATAAGCTTTTAGGAATGATATTTTCCAGTGTTGGGTGGCTTCTCAATTTTCACAAGTTCTCATTTTTCACATTGAAAAGTTGGTTTGGAAAGGAATTGTATGGAGAAATTATTTCACTGATAATTATTTCACTACCAACCTAGAGTCTATCAAGCTGTTGAAAAATTGTTTTAAAGAAGCGTTGTTTTCATAAGTAGTTATGCTGAAGGGTTACTGCCAGTGTTTTAAATTGTCTGCTGTATGCTCCCATTACCTTCAGATTGCTTTAGGTACTTTGGTAACTTAGATCTACTGGACTTGATATCCTGGGAATGAGATATGTGGGGTTCACATCTGTTAATCCCATCCTGCCATCTTTACACTAACAGGTAGAAAAAAAATTAATTAGGCCAAAGTGAATAATATCAGGAGTTGTGGAAAAAGATGAACATGTTTCAGAACATGACATTTAAGGTAGTAAGTGGGGATGGCTGGGTGGTTGTCTTGAAGACTCAGAACCATCTGTTTTGCATTGGTGAATGTGTTTATGAGTGGGGAATGTAGGTAAGGGGGGACTCTGGACTTAGTATCAGGAGTCCCCAGAATCTTTATTAAACAGCAGAAACAAAACAAAAACTTCCAAGTGATTCCAGTGCATCTCCTCTAGTTGTGGGATAAGATACCATTGCCCCTACTAAAGAAATTTCTACTCATGTGTGAGCCTAGACAACTCATTTGACTTTAGAGTAAGGTCAGAAGACTAGACTTTGACTCTTTAAATGTTCCTGAAATCTAATCTTGGGGCAGTTGTGAAAGGGGAGATGAAAGGTTGTGTGATTGTAAGTTGTATAAATATGAGTCTCAGACTGTTTTCCAGCAGTTTATAGATTCCCCACTTTCTCATTCAAAACCTCACCTTACTTGACAGCACTGCCCAGCCGTACACACAGCAGAATCAAGGAAAGAGGAGGTAGGGAGAGGTAGGACTCTGAGCTGACCCTCCTCTTTCTCTCCTTGCATCAGCTCCACAGATTCCCTTTAATCTATGTTCAGCCTCAAATAGTTATCTCTTTCTGGGCAGAATTTAATTTTGAAGTGAAAATCCTCTTCTTTTGGGGCTAGTCCCTGAATTTACTTTATTATAGATTACTGTTTCCAGTTTCTTAAGGAGAAAATAGAACTACTTAATTAATTCAAGGCTTAACAAATATGTGAAGTATGCATGGAGTGAAATCTCATTAATTTGCATTAAAGACGAGGCAGGTATTGAGAAATTTGAATTTTGCAACACTTTAAATTTGAAATTTGGTAAAAGGGATATGAAAAAATACCTTAGAGAATGCTGGCTAATACAGATTTTTGAAAACAACTTTTATGAGTAACAACTCTGATGAAATATGGAAATCTTTGAATATGACTTTAAAACTCTTCTCAACCAGTTTCTTGTTTTACCTAAGTATTTTGCCTTCAATATTGTTGATATAATTTATTTAGTGATTTTTTTATAAAATTTTTTTTAATTTATATTTTTTCATTGGACATATAATTGCATATATTATTTATTAATTTCTTTCTACTTCCTTTTTTTGGCTGAGACACATCACAGTCCTTTTTCTCCCCTGTAGAAGCAAATGAAAATAAAAGAGATGAGCTGACATAAAAGTTGGGATGACTTTTTATTTGAGAGTCACTAAAGGACCATCAAGTGAATCGTGGAGGGACTTGGAGTCCTCATTGTTTTAAATGAAAGTTAGACAGTGTGTAGATATTTTGGAGCCCTGGTGGCACAGTGGTTAAGTGTTCTGCTGCTAACCAAAAGGTTGGAAATTCAAATCCACCAGCCACTCCTTGGAAACCATATGGGGCAGTTCTCCTCTGTCCTGTAGGGTCGCTATGAGTTAGAATCAACTTGACAGCAGCGAGTTTTTGTTTTATTGCTAAGATTTAGAAGAGATCTCCTAAAAGAGAATAGTGCTTAACATGCAAATGATAGGGTTCTGAATTAAATTATTAAAATATGTATAGCAATAAGGGCATCCCATATATTTGGTGAGCAGTCTGACTTGGTATAACAGGCAGGTTCTTATCACAGGGTCCCTTGTGCAGGCTGTTTAAAATATGGAGATTTTTATATTTTGTCACTAACTTAATTGCATTGGCTATTTCAGAGTATCCATTACTGGCTGCTGAGATAGAAGAAATAGAAGATGTGCAACAACAGGAAGCTGCCCTGCTGACAAAGTGGCAAAGGATTATGGGAATTAATTATGAAATAGTGGTAGGTTAGCTTTCTCTCCCTAACTAGTAGCTGTATTTGAGTATATGGCAAAAATAATGATGAACCTTTGAAAGAGTCCCAGAGAAGCAAGATGTTAAGCTTTTTTGGAAGCCCTAAAAGTGCTGCTCCAGGTATTAAAAATTCAGATTGGAGAAAGTTGAATAGTAACCAAGGAACTGAAATAAATAAGATGGAAATTTAAGAACTCATAATCCATCAATGTTTTAATATTTTTTATAGTAGTATAAATAAATGATTTACTTAAAAATAAAACAAAAATCATCAGTGTATAGAATTGTAAAGGGACTCTTTCCCACTCCCTCTTTATCACTCCCTTTATAAGTTTGCATGCTTTATTTCATATTATTGTCCTTATATCATGGTGAATGTGTTATGATTATTGACGATTTGTGTATAGCGATCATAATCTCCTATCCTAAAAAGAAGTTTTACAAAATTGCCACAAATTATCAGTGTTTAGATGCATACCAGAAAATTTCAGAAATTTGAAAGAAAAAAATAAAATACTGTGCTGAGTAGAACTTTTTATATTGCTTTTAAGATTCAGGTACCTCTGGATTAGAAGAGATAAAGGGCAATGGATAATGACATATAATATTAATCATAACTAGCATTTATTGAGCATTTTGTGCCAGAAGTGTTCTAAGTGTTTTATTTAATCCTTGTGACAATAATCTTTTTTTGTTAACACCCAAGATGGTTAACAATCAAGTAAGAATTGAGTAAGTGCATCTGTTATTACCATTTTAAATCAAATCAAGGAAAAATACAGTCACATGGCCATTATCAATTGGGACCTGAAGGTTTCTCAGAGGAAGTGATACGTAAATTGGGCTTTAAGGAGTGAGAAAGATTTCATGCAGCATTAGATTTCAGTCAGATAATGTAGCTTCTGATATTCACCCTGCACATAGTAAGATTTGAAAAGAGATCTTTTTCAAATACACTCTTCTTTTCAGTCCTTCTATGCGTCAGTTTCCTTAACTGTAAAATAAAGGGGATGAAGCAGATGTCATTAGTATCCCTTCTGACTTTAATACTGTAATCATTGGATTCTGTGGGAAAATAAGTGATTTCCTAACATTCTTCTTTATTTTAATGTAGAAGTAGGAAATAGGAGGTATAATTGAGATAATCGATGTAAAGGGTTTAGCACAGTCCCTGGCACATCGTAAGTGCTAGGTAAATATGCAGGTTTTCTGTACTGTTGTTTGAGCTCAGGCTTTTGATTTTATCCATGATTGTTTTGACTACCTTGTGTCTGTTATCAGCATCTATAGGCTCTGCACAGTGTCTTGGGTGCTTACAGCTGCTGGCTTCTCCTTTCAGCTCGTGTTGGTTCATGAGACCAGTGGACATCAGTATTCTTTCATAGCAAAGCTCCGAAGCTTTGTAGTGTGTGGTTAGGTTTCTAAAGCTTTTGTAAGAAAGTTGACCATCTTTGGGTGAATATAAAATATATGCATGAGTAGATTAAAAAACAAAAATAAAAGAATATTAGAATTACTGATGATTTTTCTCCGTTCAGCTGGCCCATGTGAGCAAGTTCAGTGAGAGCAGTGGATTGGGGATAAGTCTGGAAGCAACAGTGGGGCATCATTTTATCCGATCTGTTCTACCAGAAGGTCCTGTTGGACACAGTGGGAAGCTGTTCAGTGGAGACGAGCTATTGGAAGTAAGGAGCTATGCCGTTCTCTCTCCCCCTTAAGTAGATTCTGAGGAGGCTACAGGAGGCTTAATATGAGGAATCAGTAAGTTCTTATGTTAAGATCCCCTCTGAAGGATACTTGAGAGAGGTCTGCAAATAAAAACTCACCCAAAGAAGAAATTTCAAATCTGAATATACGTTGGTCTTCAGACCAAACTTCTTAGTTTTTTTTTTTTTTTTTGGTCCAGCAAATTATATTTGTTTTTAAATTTTAAAACATTTATTCAGTTTTTAGAACAGGTAATAAATACATTCACGTTTCAAAAATCACAAAGAATTCAAAGATACAGACTTCGTACACAAAGACTCAGTGAAAAGTCTCCTTCCTGTTCCTAGTCACCCAGTTCCCATCACCTTTCAGTAGGTAACTATTGTTATTTGTTTCTTGTACATTCTTACAGATATTTTAATGCATAAATAAGAAAATTCAAATATATTATTTTCCCCTACTTTTTAAAACAAATATAGCATACAATATGTGCCATTTTTTATTTTTTTCACTTAATAATTATATAAAATGTTGATTATTTTTGTAACCTCCTTCTTCTTCCCTTCATCCTTGGGGAATATTCTTATTAACTCTTCATTTCCAAACTCCTACACTAGCAAATCAAGCATGAATGAAAGTTAGTGATTTTTTTGTGTGCTCTTGAGAAGGTCCAACGCCACCAAAACTCTGAACTTAGATAGAAATTGTTCTAGTTAGTGCTACTACAGGTCTAAATATATTTTTTTCCACAGGTGAATGGCATAACTTTGCTGGGGGAAAATCACCAAGATGTGGTCAATATTCTAAAGGAACTCCCTATAGAAGTGACGGTGGTATGCTGTCGCCGAACTGTGCCACCTACCACCCATGCAGAATTGGATAGCTTGGACTTATGTAACATGGAGCTAACCGAAAAGGTATCCGATTTCAGACAAGAGGTTAATGTGAAGGTATGCTGGAGGGGCTAAGTGGGGTCACCATGAGTCAGAATCAACTCGAAGGCAGCTGGTTAAGTGGTTTAGCTGGTTTAAGTGACATTTAAAATATTTTTAAGTTTTTTTTAGGGAGGTTAGCGGTGGGGGGTTTGGTATTTAATTTCCTCACATAGTTCATGACTTGTGCGTTGGACCATGGAGTCAGACAGACCTAGGGTGAAATCAGACCTGACACTTACTTGCTATACAACCTTGGGAAAGTCGCTTCATCTTTCTGAAGCTCAGTTTTCTCCTCTGTAAAATGTAAACAATGCCTGTCTCAGAGAGTTGCTCTGAAGGTTAAATAAGGTAATGTAACATTATTAGATACTCTTGTACACTATATGCTTGTATAATTGCTTCACAGGAATACTGTGAAATAGACACTCATGTTGTCCCCATTTTCAGAAGCGAGTACTGAAGGATGTAAATTGTATATGTAGCATGTGGTCGATTCTCTGGGTGGTGCAAATGATTAAGTGCTCAACTGCTAGCCAGAAGGTTAGCAGTTTGAACCCACCCAGAAGTGCCTTGGAAGACAGGCCTGGTGATCTTCTTCCAAAAGGTCACAGCCTTTAAAACCCTAGGGAGCAGTTCTGCTCTGCACACATGAGATCGCCATGAGTCAAAATTCGCTTGACACAATGAACAACAACATGGTATGTGGTAAAAGATACTCACATGTAATCTGCTCAGCTCAGTGCCTGCACATGGTTACTGCTCAGTGAATAGCCACATCGTTTCTGTGTGTATAGGTCCTACTTATATGCGCACTATGTATACTTTTAAAATGTGAGAAATTTGAGCCCATAATAATCTATATCAGATCATTTTCTGTGACAGCCAGTCTCCCATGTTCCTGTTTGTTCTTCTCCATTCAGATCCAAATGTGAAGAAATGGAGCTAATCTCCTTTTCTGAGGACATATGGTAGATGCCTAAAGTTAAAATTTGAACTTAACATGACTTGCAGTCTAGTCAAATCTTGCTTAAGGTATAATGAGAGAAGAGTTAGAATTTGATTTGTATTGTACTGAAGGGATCGGCACAATAGGATTATTTTGAAAACTTTGAAGAATAAAAGTGCAATGTTTAATATTCACAGAAGTGAATACGGTGAAAGAAGAAACCTAACTCCAAATTATAAGTAACTCAGAAGCCAGCACCGTATATACCCATATACGTTTTTATGAAGTATAAATGGAATTGTTACAATATAACAGATGGACAGATTTGCCTCCATGGTCCTAGGCTCTGTAGTAATTGATTAAAAGCAAAGATAGTACACAGATCAGAATTTTATCACCGTAAGTACAGCCATCTTAAATTTAATGTGTTCATAGAGAGGAACAAATTTAATTAACCTGGATTCACTCTCATTTATTTTTACTGAAGGAAGCTAACATTTTGAACACCTACTTCTGTGTCACATGCTTTATAAATATTACCTCATTTCATCCTTGAAACATTCAATGAGATGGGTAACTATGGAGCTCAGGTTAAGAATATTGCTCAAGGTAACACAGATAAGAAGTCATAGAGAAGAAGTCAAGCTCAAGTGAGTCTGACTTCAAATCTTACACCTTGTCGTTGTGCTCGGTAGTTTATTAATGAAATAGTCATGAGCACAAGTCTCAACATTCCAGAACTCTTGTTTGCATAGATTATAGGACTTCTACATATATCCATTTTCTCTTGGATTAGTCTTTATATTTATCATAATGTCACAATAGCCTTAAATTTTTTCTAACTATAGAGGTAATTCAGACACTGATGGAAAAAGTGAAAATCACCCACAGTCACGCTGCTGAAATGTAACCTTTGTACATTTTATAGGAGATCTTTGAACCATGTATTTTTAATACCTGTTAGAGCTTAGATATGTCTTCCTCTTTAACAGCTTTCATAATTACTACCTTAATCCCTAAAGGTGTCAAGTAAGCCGTTGTTGCTTTTACTCCAGAGTATTTTCCTCTGGACAGATGCTAGGAATCTCCCTTTTCCTTGACGCATTGGTGCATGTATCTTCTAATCGAGTGCCTCTGAAATAAGAGCTGTCTGGTCTGTTATCCAGCCTCATGTAGACCTCGGCGAGTTCACTGGGTCCTCCGAGACAGAGGATCCTGCACTGGCAGTGACCGACGTGGGTCAGAAGACAGAGGATGTTCAAGGACCTTTGGCTATGTGGGAGGCGGATGTTCAGCACATAGAGCTGGAGAAAGGGAACAAAGGACTTGGTTTTAGTATTTTAGATTATCAGGTAAATATGTCTTATTTTCAGCAACTTCCTTTTTTTTAAGAAAGATGACATATGCTAGAAGTATATTGTTGATAACAGAGAAAAAGATAATATTTTAGAATAATTTAGAAACATCAAAGACATTTACTTGTTTGTAGTGAATCTTTCAAAATAGTAATTTATTTGGTTCATTTGCTCCTTTGGTTATCTTAAAGGGTTTCTTTTAACATTGACTTCATTGAGATATTTTGTATTTGAGCTCTTGGAAATTTGAAAAACATACAGAACACATTTTAGGGAATACCATAGAAATCGAATTTTATTTTGTCGTTTGAGGAGTATGTTGAAATTAATTTTATTTCCCTGCTCTTAATGGATAGCTCACCTTTTAATGATAAGACAGCAAGGATAGATACTTATTTCTTTTGTCTGAAGCAAATGATAGCTTTATATTTGAATATAATTCTGATGTTTCCATCATTTTACTACATTTATGAGTATGCTTTAAATTGGTCGGTTGTGGCCTGTGTCCTCATCCTGTGTTGTGTTCTAGGCTGAGTAACTGAGGAAATGCTGAAGCCTGTCTGATAGAGCATAGCTGTTGCTCCTCATTAATTAATACTGAACCAGAAAGCTGTCTCAGGTGACTCCAGGGAGTTGTATTCTTCATAGGGACTGATTCTGGAGGCTTGTTCTAATATTAAGATTGCTGTGTATCTGAAAACACTACATCACCAAATACTATTTGGTCTTTTCTTTATCAGTTCACTTCAAACATATGGGTCCAACCTGTGCATTAGTGGTGAGTTGATGTTCCACACAGTGACATTCTATTTAACAAAGTTGCTCTTAATAATTAATATATTTGGCATCTAGCCTCAGATAATAGTTTTAAGATTATGACAATTATTAATAAATAAAATTATAGAAAGGATCTGTACAATATAGGAGTTTAACTCAGGAGCAGTGGCAAATGAGTTGCCATTATTTAGGGTAATCACTTACTATAACTCTCTAAAATGGAGAAAACCTTGCCAGATAATTCAGTAGAAGTTTTACTTTTTTTTTTTTTTTTTTTAAAGACACTTGAAACAGTTACCCATCTATTACAATTCATCATAGACGAACTTTAAAGAGTTTTTCAGGTGTTAAGGATCACAATACAGGGTCCTGGACAGAGCTGGAGAAAAATGTAGAACAAAATCCAAACTCACAAAAAAAGACCAGACTTACTGGCCTGACAGGGACTGGAGAAACCCCAGAAGTATGGTCCCTGGACACCCTTTTAGCTCAGTCATGAAGTCACTCCCGAGGTTCACCCTTCAGCCAAAGATTAGGCACACCCATAAAACAAAACGAGACTAAAGGGGCACAACAGCCTAGGGACAAAGACTAGAAGGCAGGAGGAGACAGGAAAGCTGGTAATAGGGAACCCAGGGTTGAGAAGGGAGAGTGTTGACATGTTGTGGGGTTGTTAACCAATGTCATAAAATAGTATGTGTACTAACGGTTTAATGAGAAACTAGTTTGTTCTGTAAACCTTCATCTAAAGTACAATTAAAACAAACAAACCAGTTGCCGTGAAAAAAAAAAAATTAAAAAAAAAAAAACGTTTTTCAGGTGTAAAAGTGAGCTGACTTGTCTTTAAATTTCCATTCTGTTAGGATCCGGTTGATCCAGCCAGCACTGTGATTGTAATTCGTTCCTTGGTGCCTGGTGGCATTGCTGAAAAGGATGGAAGACTTCTTCCTGGAGATCGACTCATGTTTGTCAATGACGTTAACTTGGAAAACAGCAGTCTTGAAGAAGCTGTACAGGCACTGAAGGGCGCACCCTCAGGAACTGTGAGAATAGGAGTGGCCAAGCCTTTACCTGTAAGAATTTGGATTTTATTGTCTTCTTTCTATATTTGCAAACAGCATGGCTGGCACGTATACTTTTAGGTTCAGGTGTTGTCATGATTGAATCATGACTTTTGGTAATGTTGATCAACATGTTTATTGGCTCCATGGGTATAAAGATTTTATTTTGAGTAACTTTTTAAAAAACGTAAAGGAATGAAAACATCCCAGAAGTTCAGAAATAAATTTGAACTTAATTGTGTGTGTGGTTGACTTTTGACTTTTTTATTAGCTAGTAAGATCATGATGAAAGCAGAATCAAATATTTTCAGAGAAATTGGACTTAAAATTCGATACCAATATAGTGGACTACTAGGGAAATGAATAGCATTAACAATTAAGACTGGAATCTATAATCAGTAGAATAAAGTAGAATCTCTGTCCAAGTATATTTAAGTCCCTATATTCTGTTGACTTCAGCACATTTGCTGTCTAATTACTGCAGAGCAGGAAATTGAACTTTCCAAAGTGGGTTCATCAGCTTGTGACTCTCCTTCTGGGAGAAAATAGCTCTCTTATTGCAACATGGCACTTATCACTGTATTGCAGTTAAATATTAGAGACATTCTCAATATTTGTGGATGTTTTCAGTGTATAAATACGTTTTTAAATGAAAGGACAAATATACCTTCTGTTAAGAAATCCAAATGTGTAGATATAATTGCATAAAAATCAAATAAGGATTTGTTGACTTTGTGAAAAAATTTTTCAATAGTATTCTTTATTTGTATGTTTAAAGTATTGGATTAAATTGTTCGTGCCCTGCTTTTTATTCAGGCAGCCTATGAAAATATATGTATGAAGAAAGGAAGAAAGAAAGAGACAGAGACACATGGAGGAAGGAAGAGAGGAAGGAAAAATAGAATTAAATAACCTAAAGTCAAACTAGGATTGTAGAAATCAGAACAAAAGATCAATACAAAAGGGAGTGGAAAGTGAAGATAGACCATTATGTTCATAAGGTTGGACCATATATTTGGTTCTGATCTTTAGTTCATAAGGTTGGACCATATATTTGGTTCTGATCTTTCCATTGGGCAAAGAGAAATGGCAAACATGACTCAGTATATGTGTTTTATTGCCCTTAAGGAGAAATCATATCAACTATTTAGAAGTAGCCTTTTACTAATAACTAGTTAGTTCCGAAATAAATTTCTTGCATGAGAGTATTTGACATCTCAAATTCGGTATGCATTGCTCTATATCCCAGATATAGATCTGTTACATAAAGTGAGGTCTAATAAGCGTTAAACTCTATGTGTGAGAAAAAAGGAAAACATTTTCCCTCTAATACTTTTTCTGTATGTATTGCTTTTGCTGTATGTAGGCAAGACCATTATCTAACTATTTTGGCCCATTTTAGTTGAGATTGAAATAAAAATGTTAGATTTTCTGTCAGTGTGACCAGGGTTACAGTATAATAGCTCAGGGTTCCAATTAAAGCAGACTATGTACATGGAGAGTTTTTATTAAACTGCTAAATTAAGAGACTTCACTATAGGGCACAGCAGTATTTCTTGTCATGTAGATTGCATTCTTTAAAATAATATCTTAGCAAAGGATGACAGAGAGAAGCTGATCCTTCTAAATGTTCTGTTCTTCTGCAGCTTCTTTCATGCCTTATCACATAAAAGTTGCCTTATTTCCATATGAGGAACTCTTTGTTTTACTTGGAATATTTGGCAGATAAAAATGACCAGAAGATTATTTTAATTTTAAAAATGGTTGATTTTGATCATCTTTTATAAGAAGAAGAAGGACAAAATCAGTAGAAAGAGATTCTCATCTAATAGATGATATTGGTAGTGAAACAAATAACCTCGTTTCTTAACTCATAAAAATATTAAACATGAATATCAGATTTTGTACTCACAATTCTGTGTTAAAGTCGTATCATTTGAAAACCTTCCCGTTTTTTCCTTTTCCTCTTCTCTCTTCTCCTCCTCCATTTCCCTTCCTCCATCCTTCTTTTCCTCTTTCCTCTTCTCTCCCTGTTTCCTGAATTCATCCTCCAACGCTGAGCTTCATTCTCCCTGCAGCTTTCGCCAGAAGAAGGCTATGTTTCTGCTAAGGAGGATTCCTTTCTCTACCCACCACACTCCTGCGAGGAGGAGGGGCTGGCTGACAAAGCCCTCTTCAGGGCTGACTTAGCTCTGGTTAGTGGCCACGACTTACCAAGCTTTCCTTCAGAAACTTTGTGTGTCTTATTTTTGCCTTTCAAAATATTTCAAAGAAATCTTACTACGTTCTTTGTTCAGTGTGTTTTGGAAAACTAAACAGGTTATCTCCAACTCCCAAGGTTCTCATAGTTCAAAATTGGAAAACAAAGAAAGTATAATATATGTGAAAGATATTTGTTGGATTTGTGGGGAAAATTCAACTAGCAATGCATTGTGTCAGCATGTAGAATTAATCTATACACAGTATCTGAAATTGTTGGAGAACCTGTTTGAACTTCTAATTTCGTACTTGAGTATCTCTAGGCATTCTTTGAATGTTTCCATATTTAGTGCTAAATCTGTGTTTTGGCTGCTTTTCTAAAGAGGAAACAGGTATTTTTTTTTCCATTAGATATTAACAGTATGAAAATCATATAAACTGGTTCAGTTATTGATTAAGAATGTAGAAGCTTCCAGAATAGGCAAATCCCACGTTTTTATAAATACATATATGTAAACATCATTGATTTAGTAGAAACTTTTAAATTAAAATTTTATTTCTGCTTGATATATAAAATCATTTATTGGAAGAAATGTATTTAGGGCCAGCTGGAGGCCACTTTGATGAATAAATAAATACATGACTCCTTCCCTTAAGAGCTTTGATGTCTAGAGAAGGAACAATGATATATGAATAATAAAACTAAATACAAGATGTAAATGCCCATGAAAGCAGCAGTCAAGAAATCAGACGATATATTGTATTGTACAAATCTGTTGCAGAAGACCTCTTTAAAGTATTAAAAAGCAAAAATGTCACCTTGAGGACTAAGGTGCACCTGACCCAAACCATGGCATTTTCAGTCACCTCATATACATGTGAAAGCTAGACAATGGATAAGGAAGACCGAAGAATTGATGCATTTGAATTGTGGAGTTGGCAAGGAATATTGAATGTACCGTGGATTGCCAGAAGAATGAACAAGTCTGTCTTGGAATAAGTATAGCCTGGGTGCTCTTTGAAGTAAGGATGGTGAGACTTTGTCTCATGTATTTAGGACATGTTACCAGGAGGGACCAGTCCCTGGAGAAGGACATCAAGTTTGGTAAACTAGAGGGTTAGTGAAAAAGAGGAAGATCCTCAACCAGATGTATTGACACAGTGGCTGCAGCAATGGGCTCAATAACAACAATTGTGAGGATGGCGCATGACCGGGCAGTGTTTCCTTCTGTTGTACACAGGGTCACTATGAGTCGGAACCGACTTGACAGCACCTGACAACAACAGTTAACATAGTCTTTTTGAAATGTCACAGGAGGCAGATACATAATTGTCTCTAGAAATACCTTAAGAAACAATTTCCTTCTAGGGTTTATGTTGCTCTCTCAAACCTCATGAAACAAATGCCAATTAAAAAGATTAATCCCACTTTTATGTGAGCTCAGCACCTTATAATGCTAATAGGTATCCTGGGTTTTCTCCCTAACTAGCTACATAATCTCGGACTGGTCAGTCAGCTTCTGTGGGTGTTAATTAGTGTTTTTATCTCTACAGTCATGAGACGAATTGATTATTAGGATCTCACCTAAAAGTCTAAGGCATCAGCAATAGGCATACAGATTTTATTGAGGTATTGCTTCTTTAATATTACTTAAAACAAATATTTACATATTGTAATTCCTGATACAAAGTTTAGTTATTAAAGTATTTACCATCTAGATTGTTGTACTTCAACATTTATAAAGAGTAAATCTCCACATAATGACTCACTAGTGAATTAGAACATGCATTTAAAATATGTTACTAGGCTTGTGAAATTTATTGGAAGAGAGGGTCACATTGAATGACCCACTTGCATTTTTATCAGTTGTTTACGGGAATGTACCTGGTATACTGTGATAGTGCTTCTTACTGCTCCTGGCTAAACATGTGAGTTGAAATCACAAAGAAATAGAGTGTATGGGATTTGCCACCAAGACATACAGAAAATACTGATGATATCTGAGAAGGGTAGTATGCATATCAGTTGTGTCTGTTCTAAGCTGTGACTATGAATGAATTGCAAGAAGAACATCCAAGCTCATCATGATTTTATTCTTTCACTTGGTTTTGCCACAGAAAATACTGACAGGATTTTTAGATAATATGTGGTGAAGTTCTCTACCTCACTCTATGAAGTTTCCCAACAACAGAGGTTTATAATTTAAACCTAACTAGATCATAATTAGGCCCCTAGTCCACAGTAATGGAGTCAAACATAAAAGCATCGTGAAGATGGCACAGGACCAGGCAGAGTTTTGTTCTGTCATACGTAAGGTCTCATGAGTCGGAGCTGAGTCAATGGCAACTAACAACAACAGTCTGGTAATATAATTTTACCATGAAACTACAGATTTACTGTGGGTTTCTAATGATCACCATCAAGTTACAGATACTGCAGAGTGAATGGTTTCAAGTCTAGTTAAAGATAACTCATAGAAAATATATTGTTTTAGTGAATTTTATGTGGATAACTGCCAAGTTGCCTTGTGGAATAACAGTTTTAGTTGAATAGGAAAAGTGATGACTTCATTTTATTATAAAATTTTAGGTGTCAGCTAAGTGATTTTTAAAAAAACAATGTGAATTGGGGAAAAAGTACATATTTTCCTTTAGTGATGGAACTGCTTCATCTTCAAGTTGATCCAGGCCCTTTGTTAAGTGTTACCCTTGGCCCTAGAATGCCAGCACCCTCTGCTGCTGGTGGACAGTCTGTCCTGCTCTGTTACATCAGTCAATCTCTGATGTGGTCAAGAAGATAAAGAAGGCATATAGATAATAGAATAGACAAAATAATTATGGAAGTGTGTCTTCTAGCCTCAAGTGGAGACTGTCATATGTATAATAGAACTGAATATCCAACTGACATTACTGTTTTTATTCCCAGGTGGACACAAATGATGCTGACTTGGTAGATGAATCCACATTGGAGTCTCAGTACTCTCCCGATAATGACAGTATCTACTCTCCTCAAGCCTCTGTTTTATCTCTTCATGGTAGTACTTGTAGCAACGGCCTGAACTATGGCCCTGCTCTTGCATCGTCACCTCCCAAGGTACACAGGAGATGTCATTTTATTTATAGTAAAACCTTTATGATAGTTTTCAAGAGGTCATTTTTCTGGAGGGGTTTTTGGGGTCGCATATAGAGACATTATGTTTCTCCAATCATGGATTTATTATCAGATAAATGTACAATTTAATTTAGGTAGTGTTGTTTGGGTATCTTTCAGACTACTCAAGACTATTTATATCTGATGTCTGTGAGACAGAGTAATAGAGGCAAGGGTTCAAAATTTGGATTATGATTTGCATGTTAGAAAGAAAAAAAAATAGTGACATGTGTTTCTCAAATTGTGATTTTAGCACTGTTAGTACTTTGGGAAAATTACAAGAACAAATTTATTTTCTAAATGGTTTTAAAATCAATTTTCATGCAAAGTTGTATAGTTTAGTATTTCTTGCATTAATATAATGTTTACTACCTAAGTTAAACTTAATGCTTTCATATGTTTTTATATGAAATGATGACAAAGAATACATTATGTAAAAATCATAGTGAATGGCAAATGTTTTTCTCTGGATATGAATGAAGAGTTTAGTTACTATCTGACATAACTGGGCCATCTATGTTTTAGAAATAAATTGTTGGCATAAATGCCCCAACTCTATTCATTTTCTTAGTGGCATACTCTATAATGTTCAATAAGTAATAGTATCTTACTATGTAACTTGGATTTCCTGATAACTAGTAAGGTTGTGGCACAGTGGTTAAAGTGGTCAGCTGCTAACCCAAAGGTTGGCAATTTGAACCCACCAGCCCCTCCGCAGGAGAAAGATGTGGCAGTCTGCTTCTGTAAAGACTTACAGCCTTGGAAACCATATAGGGTTACTATGAGTCAGAATCGACTTGAGGACAACGAGTTTAGTGAGGGTTTAGTGAGGTTGAACACTTCCTCACATATTGGCCATTTGGCTTTCACCTCCCATCAATTAACCTCTTCATATCTTTTGATCATCTTTATATTGGTTGCCTGTCTTTCTATTGATTTGTTGGAGTTTTTTATATTTTCTGGAAATTGATATACAAAACAATACAGTATATTTTTTAGGATTATGTGTATGCATGTGTGTAGAAAAAAAATCTAAAAATGTGTGGGAGTGATACTTTACAACATCAAGAAAGAAATTAAGCCTGGAGAAAAAAGCAAGGGTGGAAATTTAGCTGAGTTGGAATCAACTCAATGGCAGGGGTTTGATTTTGGTTTTGGTTATAGGGTCACTATGGGTCGGATTCGACTCGATGGCAACGGGTTATATGAGTTAGAATCGACTCGACGGCATCTGGTTGTAGTACATTATACGGGCCCTGGTGGCGAAGTGGTTAAGCATTTGGCTGCTAACCAAAAGGTCGGCAGTTCGAATCCACCAACCGCTGCTTGAAAACCCTGCAGGACAGTTCTCCTGTGTCCTGTAGGGTCACTATGAGTCAGAATCAACTGGAAGGCAGTGGGTTTGGTTTTCTGGATAATACATTATATCATTTAAAAAAGATTTGAAGGAAATATGGGAAAATGTTAATATCTGTTAAGTGTGGGCAAAGAGTACATATAGGGGAATAGTTATTTTTATTTATCTGTGCTGGAAATCTACCATAAATAAATATTAAAAATAAGAGTAAGAAGACAGGACAGTACTTTTTCTTAAATATGATGAAATAGGCATTTTCCACAAAAATTGAATTCAGTGGGAAGGTCGTCTGTATTTATGGACAAGTTGGAAGGTGGAATTTCCATAGGCCTAGCTCAGTTTTCTTCCTTTCTTGATTACCAAGAAATTTTTTTGGCCAGAACATTTTCAAAGCATTTTCTTTTATGTTCAAGGTGCACCTGTTATCCTTGCAAATGATGCTGGGCAATCTCATGGAATTGGTTTGCAAGGTATAATCTTCAATGGAGCAGCGGCTCTGCTCTCCCCACACCTGCGCCTGTCTGGCTGGCTGCATCCCGTCTGGAATGTGTTCAGTCTTTACTGGCCTCAGGGCCAGAAGCTGAGTTCATCTTCTAATAGAATCCCCTAATCCACAGCATAGCACATGTCTTCTTGCCAGTGGGACAGATTGCATTGTTTAATTTAGTAATTGTTACTTAAAGGGATTACACAATCTGCATACTGAGAAGCATATACTTCACAGGGCAAATGCTGGCTGTATACAGCACCGCATATTGGCTTTCTGAAATCTGTTTGCCTCTTTTTTTTTTTTTTTTGCCTTTCCCTAAGCAGTTTACTCTTTTGTTGAAGTAAATTTTGGCAAGCTAGGCTATCAACTGAAATATTTAAACTACAGAACAACAAAGAAGACGTTAATGAGGGTGTTTTAAAAACACATTGTGGAACTCCTGCATGCATTCAGTTTTCTTAGAAAGTCGGAGTCTTCCCACATCGTGGTAAACCTCTGCAGTTCTTTTTTGTTTGTCTGTTTTTTTGGCTGCACCTTTTGAGTACTTAGATTTCTACTAGAAAATTGTATGTAAATGAACAAAATTAGATGATGCTTTTATCTTTCTGTCTCTCTGAACTGAAATTATTTTAAAAAGAGAGAATGATGATTGGTTATGGAATTTAGAATTGATTCTTTTCTTAGGAAAAACGTTAGCTTACTTCAGGACTTTTTAATTGATAAAACAAATACAGTATAAGATATTTAAGAAAATCAAACTAGCTTCCATACTGATTTTAAAGAAGAGTAAAGTAGCGTGTGAAAATTTCAGTGATTCCTCAGGCTTTTGTCTTTGCTAAATGTGTGATAATGTTGTAGCTGTAAATGGTGTCTGGAAATGGCCAAATAGTTTTACCCATCTCTTCAGTTTGATGAGAGATGTTTTGACATCTGTCAGGTATACTACTAGAGGTGGTAAGAGCTCCTTCCCTGGAGCATGGACTCATCACAGAGGGAAGCCTCGCTTCTGAACAGAGCTTGTACCACCACTTAAACACCAGAGGACGACAACCCTATGTTGGCACTCCTGTTCTTAAAACTCTCTCTTTTCAGGGGCTCAGTCTGCTCTTTTTATTTAAAGAGGATATGCTTGCTTACTTTGATTAATTATCATTTAAGAGAAATAACCATTATTCAAGAACCAGGAAAATGTGGATTAATAGAAGCAGATCATTGAAATGTGGATTTTAAAGGGCAACATGACTGTAGCCAGTGGTTTTTTTTTCTTTCTCATTTTTCTAAGTTTCAATCTTTTGACTGTCTTTTTACCCCCTTTTCTTATCACCTCCAAACAGATGACAAGGTGCAGAAATAATTGTTTTTTTTTTAAATTTTTTTTATTGTACTTTAGATGAAGGTTTACAGAACAAGTAGTTTCTCATTAAACAGTTACTACGCGTATTGTTTTATGACATTGGTTAACAACCCCATGACATGTCAATACTCTCCCTTCTCGACCTTGGGTTCCCTATTACCAGCTTTCCTGTCCCCTCCTGCCTTCTCATCCTTATCCCTGGGTTGTTGTGCCCCATTAGGCTCCTTTTGTTTTATGGGCCTGTCTAATCTTTGGCTGAAGGATAAACCTCCGGAGTGACTTCATTACTGAGCTTAAAGGGTGTTCGGGGGCCATACTCTCAGGGTTTCTACAGTCTCTGTCAGACCAATAAGTCTGGTATTTTTTGGTGAGTTAGAATTTTGTTCTACATTTTTCTCCAGCTTTGTCTGGGGCCCTGTGTTGTGATCCCGGTCAGAGCAGTCAGTGGTGGTAGCCGGGCACCATCTAGTTGTACTGGACTCAGTTTGGTGGAGGCTGTGGTAGTTGTGGTCAGTTAGTCCTTTGGACTAATCTTTGTATCTTGTTTTCTTCACTCTCTCTTGCTCCTGAAGGGGTGAGACCAGTGGAGTATCTTAGACGGCTGCTCACATGCTTTTAAGACCCCAGACGCTACTCACCAAGGTAGAATGTAGAACATTTTCTTTATAAACTGTGTTATGCCAGTTGAGCTAGATGTTCCCCAAGACCGTGATCCTCACAGCCCTCAGCCCAGCAATTCAGCCCTCAGGGAGTTTGGATGTGTCTATGGAGATTCCATGACCTTGCCTTGTACAAGATGTGCTGGCTTCCCAGTATTGTGTACAGTGTTACCATTCACCAAAGTTATTGTCTATTGTCTATTTAGTGTTCCCCCCATCCCTCCCCTCCCTCGTAACCATCAAAGATTGTTTTTTTGTGTGTGTGTGTAAGTCTTTTCATGAGTTTTTACAGTAGTGGTCTCATACAATATTTGTCCTTTTGTGATTGACTTATCTCACTCAGCATAACACCCTCCAGATTCATCCACGTTATGAGATGCTTCACAGATTCATCATTGTTCTTTATCGTTGCATAATACTCCATTGTGTGTATGCACCATAGTTTGTTTATCCATTCATCTGTTGATGGGCATCTAGATTGTTTCCATCTTTTTGCTATTGTGAGCAATGCTGCAGTGAACATGGATGTGCATATGTCTATTCAAGTGACAACTGTTATTTCTCTAGGATATATTCCTAGGAGTGGGATTGCTGGACTGTATGGTATTTCTATTTCTAGCTTTCTAAGGAAGCACCATATCCTTTTTCAAAATGGTTGTATCATTTTGCATTCCCCCCAGCAGTGCATAGGAGTTCCAATATCCCTGCAACCTCTCCAACATTTGTTATTTCCAGTGTTTTTGATTTGTGCCAGTAATGCTGGGGTGAGATAGTATCTCACTGTGGTTTTGATTTGTATTTCTCTAATGGCTAGTGATTGTGAGTATTTCCTCATGTGTCTGTTGGCCACTTGAGTGTCTTCTTTGGTGAAGTGTCTGTTCACCAGCTTTGCCGATTTTTTAATTGGATTATTTGTCTTTTTGTTGTAGAGATGTTAGATTTTCTTGTAGATTTTAGAGAGTTGATCTTTGTCTGATTTATAATGGCCAAAATTTTTTTCCTAGTCTGTAGGTTCTCTTTTTATTCTTTTGATGAGCATCAGTGTTTGATTTTTAGAAGATCCCAGTTATCTAGCTTATCTTC